AATTGTTAATGATTGAATTTATATCGGTTTGGTTAATTTCGCTTCTTAGATTGACTGGGTGGTCACTAAGTGTTTGATCAATAATGTCTCGATAGAGTTCCCAGTTTGGATTTTTCAAATTCCAACGGACAATTGGGGATATAGGGGTTGTTTGATCTATGATTTTTATGGAAATGGGCCAATGATCACTGCTGCTATATTCGTTGAGTACGTTCCATTTGGTTTTTGGTGCAAATGTACTATTTGTTATTGTAAGATCAATAGCTGAAAGGGAATTATGGGTTGCGTTGTGGCGAGTGGGTTCTCCAGTATTTAATAATATTAACTGTTCATTTTCTAGAAATTTTTCCATAATTTTGCCTCTGTGATCCGTGAAATGAGATCCCCAAATTTGATTACGACTGTTGAAGTCACCAAGAAAAATAAATGGTTTGGGTAATTGTTGGATGATGTCATTGAGATCATTAAGTGTGAAAGTGGTGCTGTCCGGTAGGTAGATGTTACAGATGCATAATGGAGTTTTGAGGCGTATGGAGACGGCTATGACTTCAAGCGAGGATTGAATATGAATTTCGGTGCTTTCAATGAGAGTATTTACAAAGATAGCTACTCCGCCGCTTGCACGGAGGTGAGTTTGGCGGTTTTGGAAGAATCTGTTATATCCTTTTATGGGAAAAGTGGTGTTAAGTTTTAAATTAGTTTCTTGGAAGCATAGGGCGATTGGTTTGATGAGAGTTTTTGCTCTGTGGATATCGGTATTATGTTTATGTAGGCCGTTTATATTCCATTGAATAATAGAGTCCATGGTTAAGAAGTTAGAAGATTTAGAAATTGCTTGTGTGGTTTTGATATGTTTGTATAGGCATATTTAGTTTTGGGTAGAACTTTGTTGAAGAGGTTGAGATTGGAAAAGTAGATTTCTTAGCTTTGTTATACGTGATTTGAGTGACTTGTCTTTTATTTTAGGATGAATATGTTCAATTATGTCCATTAAGGTAGGGATGCTTGTGTTTATATCTTCGATAAGTGTGTGGATGTTTATTGATTTATTGTTGAAATTGTCCAGAATGTATTTAAATTGGATGTATGTGATTGGTAAGTGCTCATTCACGGTGAAGTATTCGATGATTGGATTTAGTTTTTCGTCCAAATTTATATCGAGACTGTTGGAAGAATTTGAGCGAGATTGTATTTTTGGTTTCTTGATGGTTTTTTCATTTTTTTTAACTGAGGTAGATGGTAGTAAAGCATTAGGGGAATCTGGAGGTTTAGATGATGAAGAATCAGACATAAGTCTTTTTTGTGTTTCAATTGGTGAGTGGAAAAGTGCTTCATCGAGATGGTTTTGAGTTAGAGGGAAAAATTTGGTTTCTTCTAAATCTTCGGTCAAGTCTGATTTGGTTTGGTCAAGGATATCAAGGGTTGGACTTGTCGGAGAGCGGATATTTTCAATTAATTCGGTGTGATCTATAGCGTATTCATCGGGTTTGTTTGGGCTAGATGATGAGTTTTTTCTTTGTGTGGCATTTATATTTTTGCAATTACTTGAGGTATGCCCGCTAGCTTTGCATATGAAACAAGTAACTATATCATCGGTGAAAAAAATTCTGAATTGAGATTCGTTTGTTGTAATAACCAATGAGTTGGGGAGTTTAGGAATGTCTTCGTGTTTGATGTATAATTGTCTTCGGAAGCTCATTATGTGCTCGAAACCTTCAATGTTAATACCCGCTTTGAGGTGGCTGATATGGGAAAAATGTCTAAGCCGTTTAGTGCGTTTGTGATTGCTTGGTTGGGTATAGATGGGCATACATTTGATATAATGTATCTTTTTGCCGGGTTTAGCAATCTGCGTATAGGTATAGTTTGATCATTGATATTGATTGATTGAGTTTTTTGAAATAAATTGTCGAGTATTTGTTTGCTGGACAGAAAGATGCAAAAACGATTATTAGAGATTCTAGAGATAAACGTTATATTTTTAGGAGAAACAATTTTTCCTATTGCAAGAACATAATCTTTTTGTGGTATTCCATCAATAGTGTTAAAGACCAAGGCTTGTTCACGGCTGGGGTTTTTTTCCATGGCGACAGCAGACGCGAAGTTTATATTGTTGTTGTCCGTCTTATTCGATGAAGATATTATAGGTAGGTCATTAGTGGATACATTATTATTTGTGTGTTTAGCGATAGTGTCTGCGGCGCGGTTGTTATCGCTGGACGGTGTCGTTGTGGCGGAGAGTAGAAGGGGGTTCTTGATTGCGATGCGTGAGGTATGATTGCTCGTTAGGGTGGAGGGAACACCGATATTACGGTCGGTGCCTTGCACTACTATGTTTTTGGTTGATTGTTGAATCGACGCGGTTTTTTGTGGTGGTTTATTTATTTTGGTTTTAAGTGTAGAAATGGTTGGATTTGAGATGGGTGTGTGTGAACGATTGGTTGTGGAGTTTTTGGGCGTAGTGCCCGTAGGGTTTTTATTCATTTCGTGAATATATGCGGTTGGGTGTTATATTAATTAAAACATATTACCTTTCCGAATGTCGACGTGTTTTCTGTGCTATCGAAAAGCTATAAAACGAACAGTGCGATAAGAACACGTGTTGCACGGTCGGCTGTTGAACACGAACTGTTATTACATAATTATATTGCACAAAAAGTAATTTATTAGTGATCGAGATTCAATTTGCTCGGTCAGTATTCCACGTTCCCATTACATATATTATATTACATAAAAATATATTAAAATAATATTCATCTTAAATGATAAAATATGTCGTATACAGAATGTACCTAACAGAAATAACTGAAAAATGTGGTTAACTGACTAAGTAATAACTTTTGTTCTTTTACATTTTAAAATTCATTAGAATACATTTTTATTCTAAAAACATAATAATGCATTCTGTAAATTCAATATCAGGAGAATTTATACGTAAAAAGCGGGTAAGTGGATGTCGCTCTGCTGTACAGTAGGTTTCAAGTGGGTCACTATGTATAATGGATGGTATTAAATTGAATTCAATGATATATAATACCATTATTGAATACAAAAAACGATTCAGAGCGGTGACGGTTTGTCAGAGTGGATATTTTATATTATATTTATATTGTTATTTCATATTATCAGTACGGTAGACGGTAAGTTGAATTATTATTATAAAAGTACAACAAAATAATTAAAATAGTTATTCTCGATTTTAATATGTAATTTCATCCAAATTTTAACTTAAAATAAACTGTGTTGATGTATTTTTTAGATTTTTTGGTAACAGAATAAATTACTTCCATGGAACTTTGTTTTAAATTTTTAATCTTTAGCTATAAAAGTTGAACGTTTTATAAATTTTTACCTATTAATAGTTTGTAAATTTAAATTTGATAAATTTCGTCGAAATTCGAACTTTAAATAATTATACAAAAAATTGTGCCTATGTATTTTCAATGTTTTTCAACTGCTATTGTAACAATATATCAGGAGCCTTGCAGTAAATTTTCACGATTTTTACCCAACAAATAAAATTTTATTGATATTTGTAGAAAAAATACTAAAAAAATTTAAAACTGACAATGTCCGTAAATAACTTAAAAAGAGTCAAATTATTTTCAAAATTTTATCGTGAATAGAAAATGAAAATATAAACATTCAGTAAAATGTTCATGTATATACAGTTATTGGTTTTTGAATTACATGAGACTACTACATGAGAAATCGAGTGAATATCCAATAATGTTGTAAAAATATGAATTTCAAACGCTCATAAAAATTTAATTTAATTAGGACATTTTTTTTTTTTGATAAAAGTAGACAAACTTATGAGGAATCTTGTGTTACATTTTCAAGTTTTAGATTTAAAAAAAAATTTTTATGAATTCTCAACTCAAAATAATTTGCTAATTTTCGTGATTTTTTAGTATTTTGTCAAGATTTCAACTTTAAGTGCTTATAAATAAAAACTGTGAGTAAGGATTTTTAATGTTTTTCAAATTTCATTGTAACAATATTATAGTAGTAGCCTTGTATTAAATTTCCAAGCTTTTTTACCAAACAAATAAAGTTTTATTTAAATTCATAGAAAAAAAGACTATTAAAATTGGAAACAGAAAATGTTCCCAAACAGTTCAAAACAAATCAAAATTTTTTAATAATGTTATCGTGTATATAAAATGCAAATATATATGCCCAGTGAAAATTTCATGTGTTTTCGAGTTACACCAAAAACCAAAATTGATTTTGCGTAAAAATTCCCGTTTTTCCTTAATTTTTATATTGTTTTCCCGGGCACTTTTGAAAACTATTTTGAATTTTAAATTTTGACCTACGCAATGCACCAACAATATTCACATTCCCATCGAACAAGATACTGAAGTTGAAAATCCAAGAATTATTTCGACTATACTTATCGTGTACACAGACACAAGGATAAAAAATCAAAATAAATTCATTAAAAATTAAAAAAAAAAGGTGCTCTGCTGTACAGTAGGTAACAAGTGGGTCACTGCATAATGGATGGTATTAAATTTGAATTCAATGATATTATATCATTGTATAAGAAAAACGATTCTGAGGGGAGACGGTATGTCAGTCTATTTATAAGACATATTATATAGGTACTTGTCTATGTATGGTATTAAAAAAAAATGACCTATAATAGGTACCTATAATAAATTCCAAATTGATCATATCACAATATCCATTAGGTACTTATAATGCGTTATACATCAACAACACACCCTGATACTATCATAGATATTTAATAGATACCTACTTTAGAAGTTTCAAGAACCCGCGAATAATATTAAACAGTCACAACAAAATAAATAAAATAGTTATTATAGGTTTTTTTTTATGTAATTTCATCCAAATTTGAACTTAAAATGACTATTAAATCAGCGAATAACATTATATTATTAACATTAAATTACTACCAAATATAACATTAATATATTGTTTTTTTGTTGAAAATGTTATAATTATGATATTATACTTATTTTAGCGTCTTACCTTATACTTATAAGTTCGTGGCCTTCATAGTCCGGTTTATGACTTTTGCACTTATGGTAAGGTGTACATATACAATCTTGATCATTATTTTCATCTAATAGTGTTGAAGTCTCCAAAACGGTCGTTGGCTTGAGCTCTGTCGAGGACTGTTCATCATATGCCGGGTAGCTGTCCACTGTTAGTTGTGGAATAGACGTTTGTGAGATTGCCGAGGATGAAGCCATTCCGGCAAACAAAATCAAACCAAAAACATGCATGGTGTAATTCTGTGAACCCTGATTAGGTAAATAAAATTATAATAAAGTAGAAAAAAAATAATATTATACAAATCATAAACAACTTTTAATATTATTTCAGACGTCTACGTTATTTTATTCGAGATACCTAAATATTATAATATTACAAATTAAGTATATTTTATTTATAAAATATTCAATCATCCTAACTTTGATATAAATTTGTTATTTGATAGTTTATTTTAAAATTTATTTAAGTAAAATACAACTGTCTACTACATTTTTTGCTACTTTAAAAATAATTATATTATATACATTTTTCACAATTAACTTACCATGACTAATGCAATTTGTGTAATAAAAAATAAAAATTCTATTTTATAGGTACTGATAGACTCTTGAAAATGAAATTTATCAACAAATTGTGCTTTTTATTTGTTTAATAAATAATATAATTTATGTGAATTTGTTTAAAAATCATTTTCACGTACATGCAATTCTTAACCACTTGCTTCCGTTGCTTCCTCATCAACAATAAGCTCGATAGTAATATAATGTACACATTTTATAATGTTTTTATGTATTGATTATAACTTGAAGTCCTTGAATCCAGTTTTTAAGTTGTACACAACGTATTTTTTCAGAATTCGGAATTCTTTCTACGTCATGGGTTAATTGATGAATTGGATATACTGTATACCAGTTTTTTTATCCGTCTAACACCTCAGACATTAAAACATGATTTTTGCACTACATGAAATGTAGACAATTATTGTGTACCACTTTGCTGTACTCTAGGTGTCATGCGGGTCACTGCGGATGAATTAAATTTGAATTTAATGATATAAAATAATTTTATTATATGTCAGCCAACATTAGTATATTACTGAACATATTATTTGATATATTTATACTGCTATTAAAGTAGTTTATTTTACTAATAGTATACCTGTTATTAAACTATTTAGTATACATATTACCTATTTAGAAGGTTGAATTGATTATTGCCGAAAACATTGCATTTGAAAATGTCATCACTCATCATGACATTAATGTATCTATATACATTAAATGTTGCAATTACCAAGTATAATATTTAAATATTACAACAAAATAACTAAAAACCGTTATTTTTATTCGTTTCTATGGTGATATACAAAGCGTTAGAAATTAAAATCCCATTTTTAGGGGTTTTTCGTAATTTGTCGGCGGTTTGATGGCATTAAATAGCTAGCTATTGAGAAAATCGAAAAATCACTTTTTTAAAGTACCATCTTTATCCAATTTGCTAAAAGATAGGATACTATATTATGTTGAAATTAAAGCATTCCTTATGGTAAACATTTTATATACAGGATAAAATGACCGCAGACACATGCAATTTTCACTGAATGTTTATATTAGCATTTTATATACACCATACAATTATCTAAATATTTTGACATGTTTTGAACTGTTAAGCTTCAATTTTAATTTTTTTTCTATAATACAATTTTATTTTCTGGAGCAATAAACATGAAAACTTACATTGGTACAATAGAAGTTGAAAAATATTAAAAATAAGTATTCAGAATTTTTTTTATAAGCAATTTAAGTTCGAATATTGACAAAATTTACCAAAATTTAAATTTAAAACAGTAGTTAAAAATTCATAAGATGTTCAACTTTTATAGTTAAAGATTGAACATTTAAAACAAGGTTCCACGTAAATGATTATTCTGTAACCAAATAATCTAAATTATATAAAACACAGTTTATTTGTATACCTAGTTATTTTATGTTCGAATTTTGAAAAATCCGATATTTAAACAACGTAGAACGATTATATAGTTTTGTTTTATATTTAAAAAAGTGTTATTCGTGGTAACTTGAAACTTCTAAAGTACATTATTATATACAAATATGATAATAAACAAATAATAATAATTCAACTTAACCGGTTACCGTAATAATAATACCAATATAAATATAATATAAAATATCCTAAACCTTAGGCTTGATCGTCATCGAATCGTTCTATTCCCACTATTTACACATCACATAAAAATCTTAATAAAATAAAAATATTCCGACAAATAAGAAGTCTAATCAGGAATGATTTATATGAAATAATATGTAAATATGCAATGTGTGTTGGAAGGTCGAATGAGGTTCTTCTAAAAGGAAGATTGCACAAGGAACCCTCTACTATGGAGTACGTGTTAAAAAATAAGAAATAAAAAATATGATAATATGTTTGACTATGGGAGTACATAATATGTGTTTATGCGTTCAGGTGTCATTTAAGGTCGTTATTATAATGGTTTTATTTTATTCTTCTAAATGGTGAAATCTTATTTGTTAAAATGTTGGTACTATTTAAATAATAATTATGATTTTTGTTTTTTTCTTTACATTAAAATATTATACCATATAATGATCTATAAAATATACTTGGTAATTTTCTAATATTAAAATGTAATTAATTTATCATTATCTATATAAATAAAAATTAAATGCTGTTCATTGGTAATCGCATCACTTGAGAACAGCTGGAGAGATTTTCCAATTTTTTTTTTAAAAATTATTTATCATAAAAAAGGATATTACGGAAAGAAAAAATGGAAAATCTGCTAGGAAAATAAGAAAACTTGAAAAAAACTTGAAAAAGAGCTCTTTTCAATAACAGACTGATCGACGTAGATCCAATAGGTACTATGATGACTTGAAATATCCATGGTACCTTCGTGACATCATGTAAGGGTGCGCTAAGAAAGGATTTTTCAAAATTAAAGAGGTGCTTTAACAATGGATTTTGAAATTTACTATGAAAATTGAAAACTTTTTTGTTTTCAAATGGTTGCCATTAGTTACTACGGCGGATGAGGTTAGGCATGTATCACGTTTGTGACTTCGAATAAAAAAATTACATCTTAAAACAAATACGAGAGTTGAATGTAAATATCTCATTGTTTGTAACTTAAGATAATAATTTATTTAATGTGCACTTAAAAAAATTCTAAACGTTTGAAACCTACTTACATATGAATAAAAAAAAAGCGGGTAAGTGGATGTCGATCTACTGTACAGTAGGTTACAAGTGGGTCATTGTACAATGGATTGTATTAAACTTGAATTCAATGATATTCGAATTCGATCATTGTCTAAGAAAAATGATTCTGAGCGGAGATGGTTTGGATATTTTCTATTGTCATTAATTATTATATTATCATGTACCTAAGTTGAATTAATAATATTATAATCTTATAATTCTTTATTCGTTTCTATGGTAATAAACGAAGCGTTAGAAATTAAAATCCCGTTTTTAGCGGTTTTTTATAATTTTGGTCAGCTCCCATTTCACCGCCATTTAATTTCGCCGCGGTACCGTTTCGCCGAATTTATTTTTTCGCAGTTCCATTTCGCCGAATTTATTTTTTAAGTAACTCTTTAACTCTCAACTTAAGATTACTCAACAATTATTCATTGTTTTATTTGTAGTTAATAAGTAATAATAATATTTTCAAATGAATCATTAATTCATCAATTGATATTTGATAATACTCATAATAATATTATCCCAAATCTGCAAAATAATTTGATTTTTTAAACTATTTTTTTTTTTAAATATTCCTTTTGTAATGACGTGAAGTGTGAACTATGAGATTGTGATGCGTGGTAGATAACACCAGTGATTTGAACGCATTGATATTTGCATAAATGCATAATAATCATGACTGTCAGAACTAGTAAAAACTCTTTTCTTCCACACCTCAACTAAGAAGAAAAATATATATTTATATAATATATTATACTTGCCTATAGTTTAGTATTACCTATTAATTTTTATACCTTTACGTTTTATAATATACGTATTGAAATTTTTTGTTAAACGATAAATATTTCTGATAAATATTTTTCTGTGTCTATTTATCACTTTTCAAATCACAAATTCATAACCATGTTCTAAGACAAAAATAATTTTATGCGGCGAAATGGGTCGGCGGCAAAATGGGATTAATTTGGCGGCGAAATGGTACCGCGGCGAAATTAAATGGTATACGACCATAATTTTTCGGTGGTTTTTACCCTGCGGAATTTAATAGTGATAAACTATTGATAAAATCGAAAAATGACCTCTTTAAAGTACCATCTTGATCCAATTTGCCAAAAGATAAAGTACTATATGTTGAAATCGAAGAACTCCTTCTGGTAGAAATTTTGTATATAGTATATAAAAAGAAAAAAAAAGAAAATAAATAAATAAACACCATTTTAAAACCACTAGCTTCCTTGCTGCGCTCAGAATCTAAAAATATGGTTATAGTTAGTTTGTAAGTTTTTTTTTCAAAACGTATTATTTCTATTATTTTAATTTTGTTTAGATTTTAGAAAAATATTACAATATTTTTTTCTTACTTGACATCAAGTAACATAGTAACATTTTAAAAATGTTTGAAATATACCATAAGCACATGGAAAATATTTATTTATATCAAACTCAATAAAACAGCTTTGTGAAATTTAAAATATTATATTAATGTATATTATCCGTCATAAGCTTGGCTCGCTTAGATTGCAACATACATTCTAAAATAGTTCAAATATTTTTTATATCTTAGGAGTTAGTACCTAATATCCATGATACATTAATGTAATTACATTTTAGAGTATATATTTTTGTCATGGAAATTATCCAAAATATGGTATTATGAATATTAATTATTATCACGATAACACAGCTTTCAGTACTATCACAAAGAAGCCAAAAGTAGCTATCATGATTTTTCGCGTAAAATTACAATAATGTGAATATAGATGGTATAGATGGGCTTATCATGTAATTTTTTAATTTTTTTTTTTCATATGATTTTTCTAATTAAAATTATTGGTTTTGGTCTAAACAACATCATATTTTAATACGAATTCATGAAATAATTTTAATTTTAAAGGATTAAACCGAAACGGTATTAGGCATTAGCACGTTTTGAATTAAATATTGTTTAATTGCTATATCAATAACATGGGTAATAACACGCTTTGATGTAAATTGGAAATAACACGTTATGAATTAAATTATGGATATACTATGTTTTGGAAAAAAATGAGAAGTCGTCGCCTCAGAATGAAAAGGTTCTAAATCAATTTTTTTGAAAAATGTTTTTTTTGCATATAATCATTTATAATTTTTTGTTGTATAATTCAATCTTGAAATCGGATCGATCCGTTGATTATTCAATGAGATACAGAGAATGAAAAGGTTCTAACTCATAAAAACGTGAATGATAAGCGCGAAACCGAGAAATATCAGTTACAACCTTTTCATTCTAAACAATAATTAAGAATGAAATAGTTCTAA